TTATAGTTTTAGAGTTATGTCCTGGACAAAGTTCAAAGAGTAAAAATGAACAAAGGGCAATAATTTCAAAATTAGTGAGGACAGAGTTATGGTTCTTTTGTACTGCACTTCTACTCAATGAGATCTATCTACCTACAAAGTTTCATGTTGATACCTCTTGTTGTTTCAAAGCTATGTCCCGGACAAGAATAGCGGACGGACGCACATACTTACGAAATGGCACTTCTGTGTCTTTTCATTTGATCTTTTAAGCCATTTTTTGTCACACAAGGCTTAAAAAAGACACACAAGTAAAAACGGAATGAACAGGATCAAATAGAATTTACTTTTACCTATTGTTCTCCAAGCAAGTCACACAAGTACCTTGGGTTTGTACGGATGACAGACGGACGGAAGGACAAAGCGGCGACTATATGCTCACCCTTTGGGGAGCATAAAATGGAAAGTATAATGTAAAGTGTACATCAACAACAATTATTTCTAATTTAAGAATTATTTTCTTAAGCACATCTTAAGTAACATATGCAACTTTAAAGGAGTGTAAAACATACATTATGAAGGTATAGCTTTAAATTTTGTACTCTTGGGGAACATACAAATTTTAATATCTCTTAAATACAATTACCAAATATGGTGTATTCAGAAGCTGGTTTTAAGTCGAAGTAACAATGTTAATTATTGAATGTGTATAAAACAGATCAGGGGTTTTTTTTAGGAAAAGGGGAAGACGCTGGACGCTGGTTGGGAGGGGAAAAAATATACGAAAAAAGTCAATTTGGGGAAACTTTATTATGACATTATTTATACTATATACTTAACTACATAGTAGAGAGTTACAACTATATCTTTTTCCCCTTAAAAACTTTATCATCATGCAAAATATTCTTTGCAGTATAACATATTTTCTTAATATGTATGGTGGTGAATGGTTTTTATACATCTATTTTTGTATGATAGTTAATACAGTATAGGTATAATAGTGTATCTGTGACACACTTTAGCTCCATATAAGTCATTTTCATAATAAGAAGTACAAAATATATTACTTTACTAAAAATAACCAAGAAAATGACAATATTTTGATAGCAACTGATTTCCAGAAATAGTACCGTTCAGTACGGGATATAGCCAAGAAAAAAAATGGCTGCCTCCATGTTGAGACAGTACTTGCAGTTTCCTACAATGTTTTTGGTTATTTTGAACAACAATTGGTGGTTTATCCTGCATGAAATGAAGAAAAATAATATTTTAAACCATGTAATTATTAAATCTGATCCAGTTTAAAGGAAAATAGAATTTTTTTGGGGGAAAAACTTGGCTATTTACCGAGGGAAGACGCCGACTATCGTGTCAATTTGTTAGTAAAAAAAACCCCTGCAGATACATGTTGTGTCATGCGCACTCAATACTTCCTGGTTAAAGCATTTCACTAAAAATAAGGGAATATATAATATTTTTTCTTACTTTTATGCAGATATTAAGTGGATATTTTATTTATTTATTGTTATTAAAATATGGATTTTTTTTCACTCATTTCTATAAAATGCCACATATTTTCATGAGCCGGGACGGTGAAAAAAATATGAAATATATTTAACTGAAATAGCACCGTACTTCATGGGTAAAATTACATAAAAGACAGTCTTCCATGAAAAACTAAGCTTTCTTAAACATTTTTAGGTCATATATAATTTCCCAAGTCAAAAGAAAAGGAAGGTCCTAGACAAAAACCAAACATATTTGAAAATAGCAAGATCAATGTTAGAAGAAAGACCAAAACAATTAGCATATGCTGTACTACATGATGATGGATTAAGGTAAATATTATCTATGCATAATTATATGTACAAGAATACTATACTAGTATTGTGCAAATATACAAATGTTGAAAAAATGATTTGTTTTGGCTGTTGCACAGAAAATGGACTTTCTTTTAGTAAAGCAAGGTTAAAATTGAACATTATGCATTCATTTTTAAAAATGCTAGAATTTTGCATTATTTTTTTTTACGTTTTCACAGAGATCTTACTTTAAAGCAAATCAGCGCAGATGATGTATTTTAAGTTTTTCTTCTTTGGCATATCATAGCAATTTAAAAGTTTTTGTGACTTGCCTTCGATTCAAAATTAGTTCTTTTTCTTGTTTAAAGAAAAAATAAATAATAAATAAATAAAAACTGCAAAATACCTTTACACATTGTTTATACATTTACAATAACGTTTGTATTCCAGGCATAATTCACCTTAATACAAAAGGCTAACATAAGGCTCGTTATCATTTCAAAACCACCCTTTTCTCAAATCTCGAAAGCAAATGAATAGAAAAAACTAGTTATACTCAATTCCAGATATATGTTTTTTTTCATTTATCATACCCAAATATTTACCTTTCAGTATTTCTTTAGGAAAAAAATTAATTGTTGTTAAACTGTACTAAACATTTGTTTTTACATAGAATAATATACGCATACACATTTTACGGTTACATTATACATGATACATTTTCACCAGTTCTTCAATTTCTTTTACAGGAAAGAAATATATGACATGATATCTTCTTCTATCTACAAAGAATGCACAAAACTTTGTGAAATAAGTGGTGATTCTGTCCTTCAAAATGTAGAAGCTTCACAATTACTGAATTTTGAATTTTCAAATGTAATAGAGGAATGGAAAACAAAGGCTCCAGCTTTTCGGAAAATAATGACCTCGGCAGTTTCGACAAAGAGTAATTTAGATTCTAAGCACATAGTTAGCATTGCCTTTGCAGGCTCTTCATTGTTAAGAAATAGGAACCAAAAATGTCTGCAATTGCCCATATTGTTGGTCTATTTCTTGATTATGGAGGCACAAATGATGAAACAATTGGCAGATTATGTAAACTAGGAGCAAGTGTAAGCACAAAATCAGTCTACTTAAAAAAACAGGAAATATCAAAATTACATGATAAACAAGTGATGGAGAAATTAACAGATTATAACAAATGTGTCACTGAAATTGAAACATGTAAGAGAACTATTCAGTGTATAAAAAATCTAACTTATAATGAGATTATTAAAAGAGTCCACTATAATTGAGTATGCTGAGACAAATGCTGATATGCCTGAATCCGAATTTTTTCCAGATGTACATGGTGTTTTTCCTCCAAGTATTTCTGTGCTTAATTCTTCCAGCGTAATTTTCAACAATGCCTTTATGCCTTTTATGACACCATCACCACCATTAACAACCAGTGTATCTGATATCATGATGATCTGTAAAAACACAGAAGAAATAAAGGTTAATATACCTGGAAATAGTGATATACAGTTGAGCTATCATACAGAATCAAGAACATTAATGGATATTAATTCAGAGAGCATAGGAGTACAAAATTCTGGAAACAAAGTGATCCCTCGGAAGCATTAATCACAACAAAATAACATAAGAATTGCAGACTCGGATTGATTGAGTCTGTACATGAGGAATAATGAATAAGTTCAACATCCCTCACGCCCCCTAGCACCGGATTGAGCGGTACTCAATTCTCAACACTTTATAGTGTTGGCATCAATGATCCCGAAGGACCAGAAAATATAACAACACTGAAGTGAAGTACGGGGCAACTTTTTACGGCTGCCACACGGCAAGTCGCTGACACAAATAAAACTAAATTAATTTCTGAAAATCTTCTACACAGGTGTAACTCTGAGATGATCAACAAAGTAAATGTAGAAATATATGGTGATAATTGTGACTCAAGAGTGAATAGATCACATCAGAGTAAAGATAAAAATAGATAAATACAGAATCCCTAAAGAAAGCCCAATACGACAAAATTGAAAATGTTGCAGGCTCGGTTTGATTGAGCCTGTTCATGGACGGTACTGGAAAGTGCAAGTTACCGTCCACGCCCCCTAGCACCGGCTTAAGCAAAACTCTAGCCTTTGTCAATTTTGAGAAGATGCTTTTTTAAGATTTTACTATATAAATATAAGGAAAACCTATGACCCGCTGGACGGGGCTAATTTTGACGCTAGAGGCAAAAAATGAAAAGCAGAATTCAACATTTAACACGAACATGGTGAAATTTTGAATTTAGAAACATCCAAACCCAAACATTTTCACTGGTTTTTGACATTAGCTGCTGAATTACGTGTGAAGGGGATATATCTACAGAAAGACCGCAAAAGCCAATTAACAAAGTGAAAAGTGCTGAATTCCTGCCAACTGCTGAAGATAACTATGAGCTGCAGGAATGTTTTGCACATCAAGTCTAAAAAGTTCTGGTTCAAAACTTTATAGGCCTTGGAAATTTTTCAACTGTTGTTCCTGAGATGATAGAACACCCACATATTGACAATTACAAGCAGAAATCTGAATATTTCTTAATTGACCTGTATGATAAGAATGAAAGTAAAAATGAAGATATGATAGATATTCTTTCAGATCTGCACAAAAGATGTATTCCATCTATTGAATGTGCTGATGAAAAAAATGTTGTTGAGAGGAAAGTGTTCGGGGTGATGTCCTTACAAATGAAAGAGCATATCAGGCACAGCTGGGCATGAAAATAGAGAAATTGAAAGTGATACACTTTTAGGGTTTATATATAGGCCTTAAGGATTACACCGACTTATGGCTTTACTAAAATACGTCTTTGATTGTTTCTATTTAACATCAAGTGTAAATGAGCAGGGGACATTATATCATCTGAACTGTCTTTTAAATAGAAGGGATGTGAAATTAGACATCATATTCATAAAGACAGTGCAAAAATTTCATAGATGATATTTAGTTGGTCACATCATTGCAGCAACATGTCACTATTTTGGAATGAAAGATTCAAATTCTTTTCCAACAAAAAATACCACCATTTATTGAACAGACATCTACAGAAAAACAGCTAGAGTGGATAAATGGTGTGGCAAAAAATATATTAGAAAATCTATACAATGGAGGGCTCTGGAAAAGTACCAGCTATTTTAGAAGACATAAAAGTTACAATACATGCAAACACAAATGGATAGCCTTACAAATTTAGATTTAACAGGCAGATATAAATGTCCACATGAAAACTGTGAAAAAAAATATAAACAATTCCACCGGCTAAAAAGACATCTGAAAGAAAAGCATAATACTAGTATTAACATTAATCCTCCACAACATACTTCCAGCAACAGTTCATCTTATTATGGAGTGTTTAATGTAGCATCAGCTTTCGTGAAAGTATGTCTTCTTTTCAGGGATACAGAGGATGCATATAAAATGGGAGATGGAAACAGACTGATCAGATATGCTAAGTATAAAATGCTTCATTTTTATCAAGGGCATCATATTAAATACAGGTTATGGATGTGGAGGGTTCTTGCATACTACATATCTATCTTGTCTGAAAAGGAAGCCTATGAATACAAAAGGAACATGTCTTTTAACATGGGTCGAGGTGTTGGTCACCTTATACCGAATGACAATTTGGTTGAAATTAACGTTCATTTGTTGAAAGACCAAAGTAGGAAAATGGGAGCAAACATAACATTTGAAGGATGTAGAAGATGGGTTAAATGCTTAGAATATTTACGTGATCTGTGTGATGTTTATGACAAGGCCACAAGTAAACATGGGAAGAGTGGTAAGCATGCCAAAGCAAAGAGAGAGTCTGATATAACTTTTGTTGTTGATGCGGCAAACATCTTTAATTTCACAGTTGGACGTGAACATGCATCTTTTGTCAATTTCAGCAGTGACTTGCTTACATCACTTAATTTCTGAATTAAATGACTGGATAAATTAAAACAAACAACGAGCATAGAAAGAAATGTAACATGGAGCACCGAAAAACATGTAACTCTGTGTAAAGTTGTCAATGATTTTAAGCATACAAGTTAAAAAAATTAAGACAGAATTCAATATAAATATCTGTTGACTTAAAAGATGATCCTGAATGAAACTGTATTGTAAAAGAATAATATTGACTTGAAAAATGTTTTACAATGGCATTGTGTTTTAATACAATCATGTACACGGTGCATATGCTATATAACAGTCTGTCTTAATACAGAATGCAACTAAGAAAATGACAGTCATCATGAACCCTAAAAATGCATACTTGAATTGATGCTGTAGCAATTGTTTTGAAATACATTTCTGATGTGTCAAAATGCATGTTTTTATACTAAAACATTAACTGAATAGTCAATACAAAGTATGCTCAACAAACAAAAAATGACATAATCTAAATATTATAATAACTTATAGCATTAAAAATATATTATATTTTTATAATAGACCAAATTAATTTGATGAGTAATAGAGACAGCTTCCCAAACATAGTTTATACATTTACTTAATCAGATTTTACATATTCAGAGAGAATATCCTATATTTCAATATATTTACGCACTAAATATTTTTTACCCAAAGATGAGCATAGTACAACTTTAAAGTGTTGTATACAACCACAATTACAACATACCGGACCTTTATGTTTAAAATATTTTTGTTGAAATAAGAAATATGATAATTTTGTAGAAAAAAGAATTATGATACAATATAATACATCATAAAAAAGATGTAAAACAGCATAACTTTCATATTGAAATCAACAATGAAAATGTAAATGCTTATAAATTTTGTTGTTGTACTTATGTGTACCATATTGTTTTCGAGGGCTTGCTTTTTATAAAGTGGGCCCTTAATTAGAACTATAAAAATTTGTCTTATTATGTTTCTTTGAGAAACAAAATATGATAAACAAGATCGACAAGGAAAGGCGGTGTTCAAGGAACACAGCCCCACCCGACCCAGTAACAAGCGTCAGAGACAAGGAGCCAAGGAGGACCCCAAACAAAAATAGGACAGGGCATAAGGCAGAGCACGGGCAGGCAAACCACTACATAGGAATAAATAATTTTTTTCATTATTATAAATATTTCAAATATATAAAAATACAGGATGTATAATGATTTTACATTGCTTGAGTGTCATTGTTATTTTCAAATAAAAATATATTGATTGGCTTGCTCTTTCATTATGGATCATAAATCAGTAAGGTAAAAACAAGGTATTCTACAAAATGTCATGTCATTGGGAAGAGGGGGGGGGGGGCATTTATTAATTTAAATGGAAACAATATGTGTAATACTTAGAGGTATTGGACATATATGATTTGTATTGTTATTATATTCATTTCGTGTATGATTTAATTCAAAATATCAAAAGTAACCAAGGTTTAAACTTACCTATGAATAATTCTCTACACTCATTGCAAGTTGTCATCTTCAAACTCAAAGTCTTCATCAGTATCACAAAACACAGCTGAATATACACTTAGATCTTTTGTGACACATCCTCGTGAAAAATTCCAAAACTGTCAAGTATGGTATCAACATCAAAAATGTAAGCAGCTTTTTCAACCAATAATTTAATAGAACTGTTAGTTAGTCCATGGCTTCCAATTGTACTGTACCTAGATCCTTCCCTGTCAAGTTCATTCCTAAATGACAACAAATGTATTTCTACACAGTGACTATCTTCATCTGAAACATAGCGTTCTAATCCCGATTCTGCTTCTGCTCCCTCAATATTAAGTTTAAATGGATTTGCCCTTTCCATACAGTTTCCACATTTACAGTCTTTTTCACATTTACAAACATCACAACATATGCAACCTTCAACAGTTTTCAATGTTTTGTCACCATAAAGCTGACGTAGGATTTTTCTTCTGCAATTGTCTCCTTTAACAAAACTCAACATTTCTGGCGAAACCTTTCTCAATTGCTTTGACTGATACAATAGCATTGCATGAGACGCTGATCCGTCACGGCCAACTCTACTAATCTGCTGAAGGTACGCATCATATTCTGATGGTGGTCCATTATGTATGACATGGTTTGACTGAAAGTCCAACCCCATTCAAACAGCATTTGTAGCTATGATGATCTGTAGAGTGCTGTTTGGCTCTTTAATTGTGGAAAGAATTTTGGATTTTACCTAAATGATACATGTCAAACAATTCTCTTTCCTTGACTTTCCACATTTTTCCGCCTTGGCTCCTTGCCACTGGTTTTTGTGGCTGGGTCATATAAGGGTTGCGTTCATTGAACGCCGCCTTTCCTTGTTGATCTTGTTTATCATATTTCATCTATAAAGTACATGTACAATTTTGAACAATCTTGAATTCTCTTACAGTAAATATACACTTTCATACAATTTTTTTTTTATCTCTGTTCATCAAATAACAATCCACTTGAATGCTGTTTCCAGTTGCACTGGTACTTTAATCACTGATATTATAATGTTTCTCTGTCTGGGGATTCAACAATATATATATAGGTTTGTGAAAAATATTTGCATCTACAAAATACCTTTCAAAAACACTGGATCCCAAGAAGGATACAAGAACGTGGAAAGAATAACAATAAATTTGGAGAAAAAAAACGTTCATACAGTGCTAATGTATAAATACTAGGGATGGCAACGAGTAACCGGTTAACCGAGTACTCGATCGAAAGTCCGAATATCGGTTAACAAAATTTATATTCGATTACTCGGAAAAAAATATTTAATTTCTATTTTTTTGCGATTTAGAAAGATTAGTTGAGAAATTCGGAAATGTACACGTATCTGTATAAATACTTGTTAAGTGCAATCAAAACATCCTTGCAGAGGTGTGAAAATGTTATCATAAGTTTAACGAGGCGATCAGTTCGACACGCGTATGGGATTAAACACAGTCCTGTGTCGTTTACGTCATCCGGCCTCTTATGATATTTAATCACCTTTAAATATTAGACAGTTCGTAGCCGAAACTTGTTAATTATAAAAACGTAAATATATACGGAATATTATATTGTAGCTTTGTATTTTGCTACGAGCAACGTTGGAAGAATTGATATCTCAGAGACCGAAGGTCGAGCGAAATATTAATTTTCCAAGATTGCGAGTAGAAAAATGCATAGGCTACAACATAATTTTCCTTTTATTATATACCTTTTCGTTTGAATTATAAATGATTTTCATTATACTACACTTCTATAGGAAATTTCAGAAAATGAAATGTGGATGAATACGTAATTTTTGCAAAACCGGCCACGCCTTTTATAATTTTGGTTTCAGTTTCCAATTGCTACGTTTATACACAGCTAAGATCGGAACCAACGTCAAAAGTAGTCTGGCACTTCCATATATGGTCTATAATAATACGGAATTTTCTAACTGTTGAAGCGTATTTGCGCTTCAAGTTCATCCTGTATTTTAGGGAGAAAATGTGTAGGTATATAATAAATGCTGTCATTGACATTTCTTTATTTATATTTATACATGTATTTCTTGCAGTCCTACTTATAGTTACGAATTGTATGAATTAAAATAGAAAACGAAAGTAGCATGCAGACGGTGTTGATATTGTGTGATAAAACTTTAAAGATCATTGGAAATCATCCGAGTAACCGAGTACTCGATCGGAAAAATGACCGAGTACTCGAGTATTGATTTTGGTATTCGTTGCCATCCCTAATAAATACCAAAGTATTTTCGGCGTATTATGCCTTCATCAGTGGTGTATTACATGTATAATATGCACACAATAGAGCACAAAATCTCAATACGCGTGTACTGTATAGTATCAAAAATTGAACCTTAACACAGTCGCTAGAAAGGTGATAAAATTACATCGATTATGAATAGACCGTTATTGAATGGTCATTGTGTTGTACTTTACAAAAGAAAATATAGCCTGCGGTCAATATGGCATAAACTCGGTTAAATATATCTATAAAACTATGTATAAAAAAAATATTAAATAAATAAAACTTCACATATAAGAGCGTTTTTTGTTGTTATTACTAAAAGTATAATGTAAGAAAATGCAAGTTACAAACAGTGTGATATTATATGAAGTGGAAATTTACGATATGGTGAAAGTAATAGAGATGCTCTCAGGCCAGGGAAAAAGAGCCCTCTTCGGCACCGCCTGATAACTAAAGTTAGATTTTAAACAGTTTGTAAAGAATGGGCGAGAATAAGTGTTAAAATTAATCTCCTTTATTGATCCTGATGGCTCTCGCGTGATTTCCGTGTTACATCTGACCACTTTGTGTTATGTTCAATACAACAGAGGGACACGTCTTTAAAACTGTGTCCCTCAAGGTGAAAATGTTCAGCAACTGGGGATTTGTTAAATTTTTGTGTTTTCCAGTCAGAGCGGTGTAAGTTCATTCGTTTATTTAATTATTTAGTTTAGTTTAGTTTCACCGACATACACTTTGCAAGAAATAAGATAAATAACGTTTTCCGTTTTACAATTCATTATGTCTTTGAGAGATGTTTTGGCCCCTTTTTTTGAGAGAATGTTTTTGTGAGGAGCATGACAGCACAGGTTTTGCATCTTGGTGTGCCACATGGTCCAGACTGACCTTCATTATCTCTCTATATATGAAGTTATATTAGCAAATGAATGTGTTTATTTTTTGTTATTTGAACGTTGACCCCTAAGTGTGACCTTGACCTTTGCAGCAGACACTCCGTCATTCTATGGAAAATATTTTCCCAAACTTATATTAAAATCCCTCCACACATGTAGAGGTTACGCTCCAGACACAGGTTTTGCGCTGACCCGCAAGTGTGAAATTTTTTTTATGATTTTTTAAAACTGAAAATGGAGCTTTATTTCCGAGTTATCTATGTTGACACATTGTGCTAAAGTAAAACTGCGATGCTGCAATGAAATTTCGAAGTTCATATCAATATTGGTTCAAGAATTTGAAATTTTC